TTTTTTTTAATGATGAAGTTATTCAAAATCTGGTTTTTGTAATCTTTAAATATAGGTACTCAAAGACAATATTTTCAAATCATGGAAATCTTTTGTACCACTTAAGAGTCTTAAGAAGTGTCCTGTAGCGATGCAAACTTTCGTTTTTTCAAATTATAACCCTCCTTTTTTACTACAAATTATTTAGGAGATAATTTTTTTGAGAATTTTAATGTATTKAAATTAAAATTCTAATRATTAYTGTTTGAGTTATTTAAATTTGTGTTCTAAGGATAAAAAATCCACGGTTCAGGTTTATAAAATATGTGATATATGGTGGATTTGAAAATATTAGTCATTAATATTAATCTATCAACATAAATAATTTGTAAAAAAAGACCTAAATATCATAAATACTAGTTCCAATAGTACGTGTATTTTATACTTTTGTAAAACGATTTTTAAAGACTAATATCCTCAGTACAAACATTTTAATAACTAGGAAATTACTAGTTCAAAATTTGATTTCGATACATTAAAATTCTCAACAAAAAAATATCCGCTCAATAATTTACAGTAAAAAAGGGGATATTCATTTGAAAAAAGTTTGTATCGCCATCACATGACACTCCTTAAGTGATACAAAAAATCTCGACAATTTCAAAATATGGTCTTCGAGTGTATTTAAAGATTCCAAAAATCAGAYTTCAAACAACTTCAATATTAAAGAAAAAAGGGGATAAGCATGCTTGATGAATCTCTTGTTCCAAATTAGAATAGTTGAACATTCCGATTAAGTGACGGCGCTAGGGAKAGGGCACTCTGTAYAAATGTTTGGKCCTCATGTCTACTTATAGGTAAACAAAYCATTAAAWTTATGGAATGCAACTTTAGAAACAAATTTTGGACCTTATAAAAATGAGTTAAGTTTACTATTTAGAATTGGAAAATTGACCAAAATTGTCAAAACAGATCTTATGGGTATTATTTTATTTTATAACTGTAAAAAGTTAAATTATTAAAATTATTTTGTTTTGTATGATTTATATTTTGCTATAAGCTTCTTTTTTTAAAAAAAAACCAATTATATTCAATCACTTATTATTTTTAAAATATACTTAATTATGTATGTAATTCATGTAAAAAATCTATTTTATAAGCTGAAAAGTGGTAACGTCAATATAATTATGATAAAAAAATGTATTAATTGCAATAACTKCCAATAAGTATGTTTTAATTTTAATGATATGTAATAATTTAAATCTATTTAAATAAATTATCAATTAATAAAATATATAACTACTGTTAACTGGTAAATGAAATCTAAAAATTATCAGTTATTATATAAAACAAAATAACAAGTGTAAGCATTTACCATCTAGTTCTATAATCGTCAAAGGTTGTACCAAAAATATATCCCAAAATATGTAATGCTGTCACAACTTCGATTAATAAAGATCAAATTATTGGCGATATAGTTTATGCGTTACTTACAAGTTTTTAAAGTTTAAACTAATGGAGTGGTACAGAGGGATACCCCACRAAATTTTAACTACTCCATTCATCTAAACTTTAAACACTTATAATTCTAATAAATTACTTATCCAAAGTTTGATTTTTATAGATCGGTATACTCCAAATAATACTCTCAATTCTGYTTCAGAATATATAATTAAAAATGTATTTCATCATTCAAAAAGAAGTGAAAATGATACCAATAAAAAATATTAAAAAATATAATATTTTTTTCCAAAAAGTGTTTTATGCAATAATAAATGTTTTGCGTTATATAGATCACTCCGTTTAATAGGTAACAATCATATTATGTATATAGATTGGTTTTGCTTCTAAAAGTATTATATGAAACAAATATACTTCTCGAATTTTGACAATAACTTATACAGTTAAAAATTATACATAGGTACTTATATACTTATATACATCAGTGCCAAAATAAAATCGTGAATATAATTACACACACCTTTTCCGGTGATTGCAGTGTACCTAGCCGCCACTTAAGTCCATCGTCATACGTCTTACCCCAAAATTCACTGTAATTTTTGGCAGACCACCCTAGTTGACGACTTTGGTTTTTAATCACGTCCAAGAGTGAAGGATCGATAAGACATTCATTATGGTTACATATCAGCGTCGGGTTTTCATTGGTTTTTCGACATCGGCTACCATTAATAACAATATTTAAAACAATTAATATTGTAATATTACAAGAAAGTTTTTGTRAGTATAAATTTCAAATTATATGTTTTTTTTATTTCAACACTTWAAAAAAAAAAATTCTAAATATTAAACCATGTTTATTAAATTGTTAGGTAATGTTTATAAAAATATGCTCACCATTCATTGCAGTTTATATTCACCACTTCTCCGTGATTACAATTCGGTTTTTCAGTATATTTTGCTAGAAATAAAAGATAAGTAAAAAAATACGATTTTGGTTATAGGTATAACATAACTAATAGGTAAAGTTATGAATTCCTAAATCCTCTCTCTGACCTACAAATAACATGGGAAATTTGCATTCAATAGAACCAACCTATTGTGTTATTATAAGCTTTAAAAAATGCTATTAAAGTGAATTGACTTATCATCAAACTTAAAGTTAAGAACATTATCKTTGTCCATGTGTTGACTTTTTACGACATGTTTGGAGTTAAATGCTAGTTACGAGCATTTTAAATACAGTTACATTATCTTTAAGATTGATGCAGTAGGTCAAATCTCTCTAATACTAAAACTAACCACACATGATGGCTGTAGTACTTAGGTTCTGTTGATCGAACATTTTCGCGTGGGTCAGAATAAAAAAAAATTAGTACACAAACATCGTCTTATAAGGCGAAAACCTCTTACGTTTGGGGTTGTTTAGCAGTGGTTCCGGCGGAGGTGATTCGACGCCTTTGCAGAACGACATAAAGTCCGGACAACAGTCATTGGACCCGGTGCGGTTAAAGTAACAGAAATCGTCGCAATAGCACATCGTGCCCAATATTGGCGCAGAACAACCCTCGTCCCGCCTCTCAGTACAACATCCAACTTTTGCGCAATAATCTCCGGCTAAGTCGTCTGCGATGCCTTCGTTGGCCGCCACGATTTTCAGGGTGCTTGCCAACGTTACCATCGCTGCTGCAGCAACCACTACGGTCAGCTGACTGCAATTCTGGTGACTCTCCTTCATCTGATAAATAAAAAAGCGTAATTCAACGTTTTTGAAACGACACTGGATAAGAAGATATTTCAATAAAATTCCATACATTTTTGCAACTGATAAAATTGAAAACTACATGTTAAAATGATCGACTGCGTAGAGGGGATAGACTCCATTTCCGGTAGATAAAAGATATTTATCCGGATTTATAAAAGATAATATTTCATTGTTCAGTGAAATAAGTTTAAAAAAAAAAAACAAAATAAAAATTGTATAATATTCAAAGAAAAAATCATCAGAAGTTATATTATATTTTATACTTTTATAGTGCAAACCATCAAACTTCAAATAAAATTTAAAATAATACATTTCTATTTCATATTTGAAATCATTCGAATAATTCGTTAAAATTATTAAAAAATATTTTTACTCTACATTGATGTTTAGAGTGATGCAAACACTTGTGTTGCGACTTACGAATTCTAAAATAAAAATGTCTAAAATCTAAATAACACATCAAATATTTACTACGATATTATTAGGCACATATAATGTTACTTACATTATACTCAAAGTGAAACGTCCATCGATTCCACATGCTGCAAAATATATATTTCTAAATAATACTCTATGAGGGTATCTATTCTCTGAATCATGAACAAAATTATTTTTAAAATAGCATAATATAACGTCCGTCGAAAAATTTGTAATTATACGTTCTGCTCGTTATCATAGTGTTGATTTTAGACTTACCAACATCGACGATATACTTGTATCTACTGGACTACCTGAAGCAGTAGATCAACAGATTATATCATACAACCATTTAATATTCAACATATTTGTTTTGAAATTTTATTATATTATGCTAATAAAGTAATAAAACAGGTAATATAAATCAGACACTGCCACACTGGTGAATAATAATATAGTTATAATGCTCGTTATTAGGTGGGTAATGCGGGTATATAGAATCTCCCTCTGGCCTCGTTTGTTCAATTACGATGAGGATTTGATTTTTTTTAAATACCTAGAAAGAGTTTTTTTATTGCAATTTTATTACTATTMAATATTTATACGAAATAAATCGATAGGATTTTTGGCTCAGTACCTATTTTTAACATTACCATATTATATTTTATCCATTGAATAATAATAGGTAGATATTAGGTACAATAAATATATTAATATTCTGATAATAATCTACGATATTTTTTAGATTGTACAGGATAATYCATTTTTACTTTAAAACGTTGAGGCATCTTGTGAAATTTATATAGGTTAATCGGTTTAAAATCGCATGTAACTAAGTATTAAGGTTATCTGAATATTTCATATTTCTATTCTGTAACTCATAGTTATTACTTATTATTAATTGTTAACATTATTTTAATAACGTTTAAACGTTTTTAGAAAATATTGGCAGCTAATTTGATGTGAAGATATATAGAAGGACTTTTTTCGTATAAAATAAACCAACAAATTATGAAACCTTTTCGACGATTTCCGAAAACCCGCAATGAACAACTTTGGATAATTTTTAAAGTGTTGTTCGTTGGATGGACTTAACCTCGACGTTAAACGAGGACTTACGTCTTACTACTTAATTATATTATTTTGTTTTCATAATTGCATTATTTAATGAAAATATGAATATCTACCTACCTACTTTTGTTRCGATGAACTACGAAAATGATGGTATTGAGCATAGTGCATACAAAGTTGAAAGTATTTCAATTGYCGGAAACCGGAATTATACATTGTGTACATTTTTAATAATAATAATATATGGGTAGATAATAGTCAATTAATATATGGAAAGTATAAGCGCCAGGATGAGACCAGCTATACCTACCAAGGTGGTAAGATGGCACGTAGCCCCTCAATTCTCCCTTCTACATTATGTCCGTAAGCACTTATTTTTGTAATAAAYGATTTCACTCTAACTTCTAAGATTACTCAAAAATTCAAAAAAATTTTTAAAAAAAACAAAAATTTCACGCGAGTACCTACGTTTGATTTTTTGATCCGTGTGGTTTTRTGACTGTGAGAGAAAACAAATACTGCACTGACATCAACTTATTAACGTTTCGAAAAAATGGACCAACAGTAGTATGAAAAGTACAGTTCTGGACCTCCTCCCCCTTGAATTTTACATGTAAAAGCATAATATATAGACTCCTTTGTATAGGCAATTCGTAGTACAGGCTCCTCCGAATCTTATATAAATTACCAAGTAGGTATAGGCAACCCGCAACAAAAATATTATACCTGCCTACTATTTCCAGATTATAATCACATTCGAATACACATCTGGCTAAATCATACGTTCTACATCGAAATGTATCACACATACACACACAMGATTCCAGTATTCCATATAGTATTCAAATAAGCCGACCAGGCYTTTGTTCATTAAATTACATACAGACTCATACATAGTCACAATTATTATAAACATTGAAACATTCCAATCCAACAGAGTACCACCCTAAATTATATTTGATACCCTGCCACCCGTCCTCGGGCCCTAACAACATCATCCGACTACAGACCTGTATACAAGCCTGTAGTGTCACGTCCGAGTATTGTCGATGAATTCCAGCCATAAAGTATAGTGTACAGAGCAATATAATATCAGGCTGTTACTACCGTTCAAGTGTATACAAATATTTTACAAGTATTATAAAAATYAAATTATTTATTTTACTTTAATGAACACTGTAGTTCATTTTTCCACCACCACTAGTTTGATATTAACGCATTCGTCAATAATTCGCTTAGATAAAACCAGGGGCGAACGCAGGAAAAAATTTCGGTGGGGAGGGGGGCAATGAATTTTTTTTTTTTATTAAGAAAGACAATTTCTCTTAGACTTCGCTTAATCCGGACAGTTATGTAATATTACGAAAAATACGCAATATATTATGCCGTAAACTAAAATAAACATAATAGCTATCATATTTTAACAGAAGAAGAGATTTTTGAAAGCCTCATCGCTGCAGAAAACTCTGAAACGGATGAATATACGTACAAGATGAAGTAGATGATAGTATCAAGTCTAAGCTAAAACTTAGTGAAATTAAAGACTATTTGAATATTGTCCTTAAATATGTTGAAGATAACGACGATRAAAATATATCTGCATATTATTACGAATATTTGAGGCATCTACGTGAGTTATTAATACGAGAAATAAATGCAAAAGGATCACAACAAAAGACTAGCAGTTTTTTCAAACCAGTTAATGAAAGTGTGCCTAAATATATAATAATTATGATTATATACATTACGTTAATATGTAATGTTTTTGCTGGATCTAATTTTATGTTGCAATATATCATAATATATAGTAATTAGTTTAATATAATATTCATAAATCTATAATAGGGATATGTTTTTGTCCCTAACCGGACTTTCATTAAATCGGACAACCTAGCTAGAGCCCATATTAGTCCGGTTTAATAAGGTTCTACTGTGTTTCATTACTCATCTATTCGTTGAAGTGTGAAGTTTTGTTTCGCGAGTTCGACTAGTGTTTTATCAAAATCATGCTTTCGTGCAGTGTATGCGATRAAACCTTTGCATTGATTAAAAATCTACACAGACATGTAAAGTCACATAATATATCCACTAAAATCGTATGCAGTATATGCTCAGAAATATTCAGACGAAGAGATAACCTCATCAGACATAGCAAAGAAAAACATCGTAAGTATTATTTTTTCACAATATAAAAATGTATTAGATAAAATATTCATAAACAAATTAATAATAATAATACTATTTTCCGGTTCAAATATTATAATCCAACAACAACCAACCATAACCAAGCGAGAACTTCAAGATTTTTTGAAACCGAATGAACAAATTTACAATTATGAAGGTAAATATCTTATTCATACTTTATATACATAACTTACTTATATTACTCTGTAGAAACTAATAAAACACTTCGTGTAGGAATATAACTTTATCGACAAATTATTAAAACAAAATATTGCTGTAGGTATACAAAAATATTTTAAATAAAAATGATATTATCTTTTGTGTTCAAACCGTTAGGATACAATC